GATGATTTGCTGCGGCCTAGCTGCCCTGTCGGCTCCTTCCGCGAATCGCGCCCACGACGACGGCTGGGGAGCGGCCCGAGAAGCGTCGGTCCATGTGCTCGCTGCCGCGGGAGCTCTTGCGGCTCCCTCGAGAGCTTGCCTGGCCGCCGCCTTTGCGGCTCCCCCGAGAGCTTGCCTGGCCGCCGCCTCGAGAGCTTGCCTGGCCACGGCTCTGGCGGCTCTCACCACGGCTTCTCCGGCGCCCACGGCTGCCATCATCATCTCGGCTCTCTTCACGCCGCGGGCCACGTCTGCGCGGCGGCTCCTCCACACGCCCCCTGCTCCGCAGCTGAACCGGCGGCCTGTGCTGGCTCATGCTAGCCGCCCGGTCCTCCTTTGATGGCTGCTTCTTCCGCTTATTGTGCATGGCCTGAAGGCATTCCTTAGCCTCGTCGGAGCTCGGGCGCGTGCCCAGGCAGTGCTGCAGCATGTCCCACCTGCGCATGAACTGCCGTGAGCAGTATCTGCACTGGCACGCACCCGAGCTCGCCTGCTCTTCCGCAGGCTTTTGGCCGGCCAAATTTTGGCCGGCGGCGTGGAGCCGCCACTGGCGGCAGTATTCGCTGTTTTCCAGGTGGCTTTGCAGGCCTTCTTTCTTCACACACATCCAGCAGTGCTCGCAGCGAACGACATCTGCCTCGTCCGCTGAGTGCCGGCTGCGGTTCTTCCTCGCAGGCCGCGCTGCAGGCTCGCCCTCCGCCGCCTCCGCCTCCTTGTCTTCCTTGGGCTCCTTGGCCTTGCCGCTCTCATTCTCGTCGGCCTGGGCCTCGTGTGCCTGCTTGGCCTCCTTGGCAGCGGGGGCTGCACGGGGCTTTTCTTTCTTGCTGGAGGACTCACTGTTGCCTCCGCTGGAAGAGCTGCTCTCCTTCTTCTTCTTGCGCTTCTGAGCAGCCTCCTCCTTTTTGCTACCCTTTTCTTCTTTCTTCTTCTCCTGGTCGTGGTCCACCACCACGATATCATCCTTCCGCGACTGGGAGTCCGGCTCCTTGTCCTCGTCCTTCTTAGCCGCCTCCTCCTCCTCAGACTCCTCGTCGTCATCCTCGCTGCTTAGGTCCACCTCCTCCTCAGACTCCTCGTCGTCATCCTCGCTGCTTAGGTCCACCTGGCCAGGATTTTTTTTCGGCGCCGGCATTGCTGCAGCCCCCGAGGGGTTAGCAGCAACACCGCCACCTGTGGCTGCACCGTGGGCTGCACCCGTGCCAGCAGAAGTGGCCGCCGCCGCCGGCGGATGCGGCGGCAACAGCACAGGCGGCAGGTGTGGAAGCTGCGCCTCGCCCCACTGTTTGTAGACCACCGGCACCCACCTGCGAGCAATTTTTTTTAAGGTGTTGGGGGTTTTGCTTTGCTTTTGAGAGGCTAATCTGTTCCAACAGACACCTGCAACCTGGCTTGCTGCTACACCTATAGCGGGGACGCTAAACTGACTACTGTGCATCCTGTAGCTCCAGGGTAGCTTCGTGCAGCCCACAGACCAGGTAGCGTGCCGATCCAAAGTGCAGCCTGGGAAATGGGTTAGCGTCGAAAACGCAGCCCGAAACCCAGGTGAGCACACGGTGGCCGCATCTGGCTCTGTGAGTTAGCAAGCTTCTTACTCTAGGTGCTTAAGGACTGCCTGGGTTTCAAAGCTTTGTAACTTTACAGGTTTCTCACCGCAAAGCTTTCGAGACTCGACTACACTTCTCCCTGCCGGCCTTCCGTAGTGGGTGAAATGCCAATGCATTGGCCCCTGCACAGCCCAAAGGAGCCGAAAGGGGCTGCGGGCAGTCACACATGCACGGGCAGTCACACATGCACACAGTGACCGAGGTACTCTTGCAGCAAACGGAAGCAGCACAGTCAGCCAACACGTGTCCTGCATCCAAACAATGCAACAAACTAAAAAAAAACCTCAAACGTTCACTCTGACTGCCGTGTGTTGCATCAAGCGATCCGGAGCATCATGGCATCCACCTGCTCTTCACTTGGCTTGTCCGCAATGTGAGCTTCAGCTCTGCGGTGGTGAGCTCCTCGCATTTGCCAAGCAAGCAAAAAGGCAGCAGCCCGCCTGCGGCTGCCATGATGCCGTACAAACGTGTACAAGCGGCAGCCGCTGTGTGTCTCGCAAGCAACGAATGCTCGGAGCTGACCGCTGGAGTGTGTGAAATTGTCAAAATGCACTACCTGTGTCCTACCGCCTCCCAAGTCGATTTCTAGAGGAGCGACACGTCTACCACCGCTGGCCATGCTTGGCTGCGGCTCTTCTGCTTGCATGAGCTTTTCAGGCAGCTCTTGCACAAGCTCTTCTAACTCGGCATCATCAGCCTCTGGGTCAAGCTCCAGACCTGTAGCCGCATCTCTTGTCAAGCTGCGGCCAGCAGGTCTTTTTTTCTTCTGCGCGAACCGAGCATTGATTTCCTCTGCAGAAGCATCCCGCAAGCTGCTGAGATCGTCCTGATCCACCAAGAACTCATAATACTGCTGGGGGCCTTTCAAGTAAATGCCCGACAAGTTGCCGGGCTTTTCCCATATAAGCCGACTCAGCATCAAAGCTCTGAGGAAGGGGAGGCTGCAAACTAGAACGTCATCTGGAAGACGTTTCTCTCCCTGCTTGCGATGCCACGCTTCCCGGCCCAGCCCTGGCTCCCAGCCCAAGACAAACAACAAACGAATTAACTCCAACTTTGATCGGCCTGGCATCTGGCCTCGAGTCAAAGTCGTTTGGTCAAGCTCCCAAAGCAACAATGGCCGTGGCAGCACCAAGCTTGCACTGTAGGTCAACTTGCCCGTCAAGGCGACGGATACATCTGAGAACATATCAGTCTCGCAGATGACAAGACCTCGGTCACGCAAGCCTTCCAGTGCAACAGCATCGAAGTGTTCAAGGTCTGTGGCATACACAGCAGATTCAATGCCGATGGCCCTTGCTCGCAGCAACTCTTTGATAGCTTGCATTTCTCCGTCGCTACACGGAGCACCGTAGACCTGCAGCACCGCAGAGTCGTCCGCATTCTGCACGACATGGGCAGGGGGGTGCAGGATGTCGAGGGCATCTTCCACATGCGGATCCGGAGGCGGTC